ACGTCCACAAACTCACGAACAATGGGTATGTCTGCGGGAGACAGCTTCTCCGAAGATTCCCCAACAATGTTGACAAGAAATCCCTGGCAATCCTCTCTCTACATGTACTTCGTCGCTTTAGCCATGGAAATAACACGCGGTAGAGTTTGAGACTTCGTCCCGAAGAACGTGATGCGGTCTCCCTCAGATAAGTGTAGTGTCACCTCCCGGTCGCGACAACGGATGTCTGCTCGGTATCTCGTCAACCAATCCATGCCAAGAATCAAGGGGAAGTCATTAATATAAATCACGAACGCGTCTACGACTAGAGTTCGGCCTCCAATATCGATGCTAAGGTTCTTGGCCAGGAAACTCGTAACTATCTTCCTTCCCGATGCGAGATTGATCTCAAGAGGGTCGACAGTACTCACTCCCTGAGCTCCTAAGGCAGACAAGCACTTGGCCGAGACGAACGAATGTGTCGCCCCGGTATCGAATAAAACGAAGACTGGAGTATGGAACAATGATAACATGCCAGACATGGTACCCGGCTGCTCTGCGGCCTGCTCCTGGTTGAGTGCGTAAATATGCACGGGTGCTCCATGCTGCTGCTGCTGCTGTCCTGGGGGTCTCTGGGCTGGCTGTCTGGGTGCAGGCTGTCTCTGTGCTGGCTGTCTCTGGCCCTACTGTGGCTGAGGGCGGTCTGGGCAATCCCTGATCAGATGTCCTGGGCGGCGGCAATGGTAACTTATATTCTGCCCGGCTAGACACTCCCCGCGGTGCTGACGTCCGCAGGTAGCGCATGCCGGCAGATCCTGTCTGGCTGGCTGGCCCACCTGAGCTGGGCCCCTCTGTCCACGGTTCCTCTTATCCTTACGATCGTCCCACTTTCTCTTGTTTTTGTTCTGAGCTGGCTGGGGTAGTGCTGGCTGGGTAGGCGGAATAGCGGCTGGCTGTCTGGCTGGTGGCGAGGCAAAGGTGTCTCGCTGGACGTACGCCTCAATCTGTTGAGCACGCTCAACAGTCTCGGCATAGTCAAAGAAGCCATGACTGGCTAACAACAGTCGAATATTGCTCCTCAAACCATCGAGGAACTGTGTCGCCTTCTTCTCCTCCGTATCCACAAGATGTGGATCAAATGCACTCTTACGAGCGAATTCGCGCTCGTACTCGTCCACTGATCGCTCACCCTGCTAGAGAGCAGAAAACTCCCGTACCATCCTCTGCTTGAAATGGGGAGGATAGAACTTATCCTCCAAGAGTGTGTCAAGCTGAACCCATCTCATGGCATCACGCTCATCCTCGGTGCGTAGACGCCAGTAATCCTCCCACCAATCTCTGGCGGCTCCCTCTATCTGCAGTTCGGCGCAAGCCATCTTATGCGCCTCGGAAATCCCCATAATACGGAAGATCCGCTCCATCTTGCGGATCCACTCGGCCACGGCTAGCGGGCCATTCTCCCCAGAGAAACGGGGCGGATCATAGGTACGAAATCGGCTGGCCACAACAGCCTGGTCCTGCTCAACTGGGGCTTGAGGATCTCTGCGCGGCGGCATTCTGGAGATCCAAACATACTTGAATTGATCAGTATAGCCAATTAAGAAATAGCCATACTAGACTTGAAATAATAAAATAAATAAAAATAATCCGAAAAACACCTAGCTTGGCTAGAGTTCCGGTATACTTAAACTTTCTACGTTCTGGCTCAAAATGGAGTTCTGACTTAGTCTAGAGTCCTAGGACTTAGCTGTTCTAGAGTTCAGCCTCTAGAGTTATCTGTCTTACAGGAGGATAGTTACCTAGGCCCTATACTTGAACTGAATTTAGCACTTGCAGAACTTAAACTGAGTCAGGTGACTTACCTCGGAGTCGGTGCGGGATGAGCGTGGCGTGGTCATGCTTTTCTAAACTTTGAAAGTATACAGAAACGCACTCTGCGCTCTGATACCAACTTCTGTCACACCCCGCCTTGCTAGCTTTGAAAAATCAGAGTAAAATTTTCGCTTTTATTTTCGAAAGATCGTGCGAGCTTGGTTTTCGAAAATATTAACTTGTTGCGGGATGTCACAGATAAAAACTTACTTAACTTGCTCACAGACATATATAAAACACACAACCAAAATGTGCGTAAAAATGTCCAAGACTCTCATGACCACGCTTTGCCACGTCTGTGCTCATCCAGCACGCTCGACTCTGTCTCCTGAAAAACACAATGGGAGCGTGAGCAAACCACTATGCTCCGCAAAGACCAGTACTGAATAAAACAGCATTTATAATAACGTGTCATGAACATAAATATATAAGAGCTTAAACTGTAAACTTTTCTTTTCTTGCTTTACTGTGGTCAAAAGACCCTCGGTCCTCGGTCGCTCGTGTGCACACCCCGATGGGATATTAAGGCCCTTGGCCTCCACCGGGTCCCAAGATGGGATATTAAGGCCCTCGGCCTCCACCTGGGAGAAACTAACTGTCTCAAACATACCTCTGCCATGGTACACATATTATACATGATGTTGAATCCAGTACATGACCCCCACCTGTTATGTTGAAAAGGACTACGCAAGTGCTGGAAAATCTGGGTAGCTGTTGAAGACTCGACTCTCCTCAAGCTACCAAACATATACAAGAAAAATAATCTAAGTATTTTTCTTGACTGCTAAACTTAATCTGAAATGGTCATTTTATATTATAACAGATAAGCAGGCAGGCAGATAAGGCAGATTGCAGATAAATAATTACATGCATACATAACAAAACAGATAAAACAAATAAGATCACGTAAACAAGTAAACTGGACTTGCTCTTCTGCTCGACTGGACTGATGTAGCGTTTCCGGATAAAGTCTGAATGAATCCTGGAAACTGAATTTATCAGTCTATCTTAATCTGGTTTAAACCAGCCGGTCTAACTTAGTCGAATTGGTCCGCTGCGAACCGGCTCGAGTTCGACTGGTGACCTAGGCTCGGTCCGGGCGGCACGCGCGCACGCTGATTGTGCGGCACTGGCTACTTGCCGGTCAGGGCGGGAAGGTGACCCTCTCCGGCCACTTAACTTATACTAAGCCATGTCTACTCATGAAGCTCAATTAAATCAAGATTTTACATTTAACTATAATTTAAACCGAACATAATTGAGCTCTTAACCTCATGAATTTTTAAAATTCACACAAGTCTCCAAAAATCACTAAACTTGGCAGTTAAATAGTAGACATAGACATGTACTTGCTGTCCAAATTTCATGTCAATAGGACTTCATTTGCTTATTAAAATCATGACTTAAGCATAACATGAAATTCAGTTATATATATGCGAATATTGCAACAATTTTGTAAAATCACATGATCAACATTTTAAGCTCAAACTCGGTCACAATGTTCACCACTCATAAGAGAATTTTACATAAAAGTTTCGCATTCATAGCTTGCATGTGGACAGAGTACTCTCGCACATAAAATTAGTTCGACACGCATGCGATCTAAAAATTATAACTCCTTCATTTCTTATGATAAAATCATGAAATTTGGTATGGAGGCTCTCAACTAATATATACACATTATAATTTTATACTGAGTATAACTCGAGTTCTACGCGTTCGAAATCGCAACTGAAATTCGCGCATGTAAAGTTCATCTTGAATGTTTAACTTTAAAAATCAAGAACTCGAGTTATATTAATCCAATTGACCTAATTCTTGATCCTATGAACTTCTCTCTTCCACAAGAAATAGATATGTAAGTCTCACAATAGCAGGTTTGGCATAGCACAGGTAAAAACGCAAGCAAACATCACATAAACAACATGCGGGTGAGCTGAAACAACTTTAACATTTTGCATGCTTATAACTACTCAAAAACTGAACCTATAAGTCATCAAAACACATCATTCTCATCCTCATATCATGAATAACAAGTCCTAAAATGGATTTAGCAAACTAAATTTGAAAACTTCTCAAAAATGCAAAGGAAGCTCGGTGTGCTCGGTTTTTGCTTGGTTCTTGTTGCTGCGGCTTTGTGGCTTGTTCTCTTCGAATTTTCTTGAGTTTAATGCCTCAAAACACTTCTATGTGAAGTGTAGAATGGGGTAAGAGTGATATAATATGGTTGGTAGCAAGAGTTGATGGCTAGAATTTGAAAATAAACACAAGTGTGCACTCAGGATTTTGTGTGTTCTTGAATTTTTCCTCTCGGCTTTTATCTTAATGGGAGGGACTTGGACGAAATTTCTCTCAATTATACTAAGCAAATGCTGAGGCATCAAATGAGGGTCATTGATGAAGTGAGGGCTTATAAAGACCTCAAATGGCGTTAGAAATTAGGCACAACATGGAGACAAAGTGGGAAACAAAAGCTAATGTACTCATTTCCAATGCAAGGCATGACATGGTGGAGCACCAAGGGCTATTGCACGAGTTATTGGAGATGAATGGGACTGATTTTGGTCTGATACAAGCATAAGGATAGTGGGAAACATGGTCTTACACCATTTATTATAATATTGCATTTCCATACTAACTTAATTAGGCATAAAGAATTGATAATGATGTCTTTGACTTGTGCTAATGACTCTTGGGCATGACTTAGGCTTAAAATATCTCTAATGCACTCTCTAATGTGCATGCATGGTTTAATCCATAGGATTGAAGAAGGGTTGGTGGCAACGGACTCGGTCTTGGCTCGGGTGGTAGTGCATGCGCGGCAGCGCGAGCACTCGGCACGAGTGGCTCGAGCAGGGGCTAGGGCTCGATTTAAATGTTCAAGACTTGACTTTGAAGAAGAAACCGCAGTAGATGATTATGAAGGGAAGTTTTAAAAGTATATGTTGTGTATATAGACAGTATATAAGCAGTATATTACCAAGATCCAGATTATCGATCATATTTGAAGGTCCGAGAGACGGAGGATCAAATGCAAGACGTTGCTGCCGGTCAACCCATAGTCCCGCATGATGGAATTGCTTTGTGATAATTCCCTGCCTCCACAGACGAGCTTCTGTTTTTATTTCCTAGTGAAAATCCCTTTACAGATCTGGATTCGGTGGTTCACGGACTCAATTGAATCGGACCCCAACACCCTCACCGGGAATATTCAAACCCTAAGGAAGAAGGTTTCACCACATCTTCACATACACAGATCTAAAGCTGTCGGTCTACCCCCGCCGAGCCACCGATCGCGCGAGAAACCGAATCCTCTACACGCAGCCGCATCGACCCGAGACCGCGTCGCACGACTGCCACCGTAAAGCTCGGACCGACCCCGCTATAGCTGACGGGACCATCGTCAACTGGCAGTCTGTCAGCCCTCTCCAACCGCCACAAATCGTGGATCTGGAGGCTTGCAAACTCAGAGAGAAGACAATTGAAAAGGAATTTCTGAAATTGAGGACTGGAAAAAAATTGGAGATCGATAAAGAAGAAGAAAAGAAAATGACGAGAGTAAGAGGAAAGAAGGAAAAGAAAAAAAGGAAAGAAAAGAAAAAGGAAAAAGAAAATAAAAAGGAGAAAAAGTTGCAATTAAAATTACAAGATTATGCACATTTACTAATATTTTTAATTGACTCGTAAAGGTGCAAATAAATGTCCTATAGGTCGTTCCCGGCGTAATTATCTCTAACTCAATTTTATAGATAATATTTCTAAACATGTTTAAACAGGATTTTTTGTTACATGTACCGGCAAAACATGCATAGGAAGTTCTGCATACATCAATATTCTGTACATCAAAAAGAGTACACAAGGAACATCTATTGATATACATAAAATTTACGAATTCAAGTAGGGGATCTTAATTGATCTACTCGGTACAGCTGGGAACAGATTAATGCTCTTTGCAGTTGGCGTATCTTTAAACCCCTCAAGTGCCCGAGAAGCTTGCAGAGCCATTTCCGCATGGAGCTGGAGACATGCCATGGCCAGCTACATCATAAAACGTAAAACACCATAAGTAAACATAAAATAGAAGTTACATGTGAGGAGATCTGAAAAACTAATAAGGGTTAACAATAAAACTTGCTCCTGATATTTAAACCAGACTACGCAAAAGTAAACATGAAATTCGATTTAGAGGTAGTATTAAGAGGCTAACGGTTTTTCTAGTAAATAGAAGGGCTACTGATTGATATTTGATCATGTAAGGGTAAAAATGAAAGACGATCAAATGTCAGGGTACCTTTTGTAATTCTGAAAGCTAGCAGGGAATTCCTGTAATTGGGTCAATCCTCGATTTGTCACTAACCCAACTATTCCGACACTTTTGTAAAACCGGATAAGGCTCTATCCATATGTAAGGCAGTAATACAATGGTAAAGCTTTGCGTAGGGTGGTGTCATTTAATATTCAATCAGCATTCAACATGTTTATTTAGTATAAGAAATCGATTTCCGAAATAGCAGAAAGGTTCAACTTGATGAACACAGTCAAGATTCCATAAAGTTCAACTAGATCAGTATTTGTCAAGAATCAGTACTATATTACTGTATGAAGTTGTGTCAATTTGTTACAGGGTTGTTGTGTATAAATGTGGATTGGGAACCCTCTCCCTTTAGGCTAGCTTTTGGGGATAAACCAAAAGTTTGGACAAAATATGGCGAGTAAACAAGAAGCTTAAACTGTACAATGCAGCCAAGTTTTAGTGAACAGCAGATATTTACCGAAACCTTAGCCATGTCAAACTCAGTTCTATTTTCAGTTAGATTTTAATAGCAAACCGTGCATAGTGAAACTTAACAAACAATTCTATACAGTATAAAAACCAGCACCATGAAAACAGAGGAATTAGGATAATTAAAATTCCAGTTTTTGGATTATAGCAACTTTGCATACCGTATGACATTCTCTGTCTGTGTCTGACTCAGTCACCTTCAGTGCCCATGTGCGAACCCACTCGAGCCCTTCGGATATTTCAATATTTCCCTCAACCACAGCGGATGCAACATACGATGGATGAAGCGCCAAAAGAACACACGAAGCCGCAAAAAGGACGGACCTTCTCACATATGCTTCTGCATGTTGTGATATTTCCCTGTACAATATAATTAGAAATCCAGTTAACGCCTTAAGTTAAGGCAAGAATGTCATAAAAACGAGGTACACTCATGTTTTAGATGGTCTGAAAAGAAAATTCCGAAAAATCAACAAAAGTACCCTTAAGAAAAACTGGAAATCTCAACAAACTAATTAATTGACCCTTAAAAACTGAGAATCATCAAAATTTGAAGAAACAAAAACTGAAAGAAAATTAAAAAGAATCTGAGGATCATCAAAATTTGAAGAAACAAAAACTGAAAGAAAATTAAAAAGAATTAGGATCCATCAAACATAATGTATTCCTCGTACAGCATAACACACGTTTTGCAAATGACATTTACTCTTCAAATATACAAGGAATGACCATGGCCAGTTCACGGCAATTGTAAATTAACAGTACCTAGTTCTCAGCATATCCAATAGAGGGGACACCAGAACAGAAGCCTCAGGATGCATAGCCGAACATTTCATACAAACACCAAGCATGTGGATGAGCTTTCCCAGGACAACAAAATCTCTTCCCACTAAATCCACACCGTGTTTCTTTCTGTCATATCCTTGCATAGCCGGAAGCATAAATACCGCTGCATATTGGGGAAACATATTCTGTGATGATTCCATCTGATTATCCTGTACCCCCAACCGAAGGCTCCACCGTCTTGTCTTTCCCCTACTTATCCTCCTGTTACTGACTTTGGCCGGTAATTCTCTTTCATAAGAGTAAGACCAGTTCAATGGAGATTGTGAAATCTCCTTCCAGGGCCCTAATCCTGGTTGACCGGTGTTTCTAGGCACAAACCATGGTTGACCTTCGGTGGACGATATCAAAACCACTGGACGTTTATGTTCTGATTTCAGTACTACTCTAGCACTTGCAAGCTCCTGAGCTGCATCTGACATCACATCCAAAATCATGATCCGCTGGCTGATGTCTACATTAGGGGAATAGAGCAGTTTACTCAAGCTGTCGAGAGACTCAAGAGGGCATGTGACAATCAGTGCCACCAAAGCCTTCTGTCTTTTCTCTTCAGCCGATTCTTCTTCCCCTTCCACGGTGAAGTCTGAGCAACGGACCTGAATGAGAACTTTCGCTAGTTCACCTGCTATATACTTGAGTTCATCTGGTGATGCTCGAATAAGCTTCTCCACAACATCAAGGGCCTTTTCAACCTGGAAAAAAAAAAGAATAAGAAAAGAAAATTATAAGAGAATGCTCTTCTGGGAATGACACATCTTGATCGTATGATTTTAAGAAAGAAATATAGCCCAATATCTGATTTAACTTTATACCTCCATTTAGTTAAAAAAAATTAAAAAACCAAAGGAAATAAGAAGGAAAAAAAAAAGTCAATGCCCTATAACATTTTCAATAAATAAATTACTCTTGAGATGCTAACAGTGAGTAAGCTTTGATGACGGAACAAATAAACTGGTAACCACAGACAACTATCGTACACATAAAGGCAGTTAATTAACCAAGGGCCGCATGTTAGGATCAATAGCTTCAAATATCAGTATAGATTTGCTCGAAAAACTGCTGTACAGACAATAATATTCACAAAAATAAGCATATCATACTTACACCATCAGCATCATCTGATTTTCTCAGTGCTGCAACCACATCAACCAACTGTGTAAAATTTCTTTTCAGATCCGCATCATCATCTGCCAAGTCATAAGGTTGCAAACTTGAGTCATATGAATCCTCAGAGTCCTCACTTGCATTGTCATTGTCATCTCCACCAAAGTTCAATTCATCATTTAATGATGCTGGATCAACAACTTCATCAGGGTCGATTAAGGTATTAACGGATTCCTTCTTCTTTTTAACTTTTGAAGAACCATTCAACCCATTATTTGCACCCCTAAGAGTTTCTTCTTTTGACATTATGGTTGAACACTTCTCTCCATGGATTGTCTTTTCATCATTACAGACTGTTTCTGTAACAGAACGTTCTCTGGGGATGGCCAACCCGAAGTCCCAGTCAATGGTCTCTTCCCGAAAACTATCATCAAGATACAAAGGGTTTTGAGGGTCTATAATCCTAGAGAATACAAGAGCAATAGCACTTGCCATTTTCCGTATCAGATAAACAGGGCTCTCCAATCTACCTGCCAGCAGTTTGAAAATTAAGTAAAGATTAATAATTTAGATAAATGAATGAGATACTTTCCAAATAAGAAAGAAAGAACCAAAATCTTACAACTAATGCCCTGAAGAATTGAGTGCAGTCCATCCTTTGTAGCATCAAGATCAGTTTTAGTCATCTTCTCAAGGCAAAGGCCTAAAGCAGCAGTAACATCTGTATCCTAGTTAAGGTGTAGCTGTGGTAAATATATTAGCATTAATAAAGTGATGAAATTCAAAACAATATAAGCAATATGTTTATAGGGCAGATATGGAGTGGTAATCTTATAAAGTTCCTTTCCAAAAGCAAGCTACAAACAAATTTTTTCTTGTTTAACAGTGGTGTACCAAAATATTTTTATCTTTGTTACTAACAGTGGTAGTTAAATATAGAGGATACAAGCTTGCTGCTCGGTCGGAGATGATTGCACAAACTCTTTCCTAGACCATGATACCACAAGATGATGAACAGTGTCGGAGAGACTACGAGAATCATAAGATTTTAGTGAAGAACTATCTGGAGAGTATTTAAGCACGGCAAAATGAATAATCCATCTCAAGCAACAGGTGGGAAATACTTTCCACAGTAAAAATTTCTCCACAAAAGTAAACCTGGAACACAAAGGAACAAAATGCCTGAAATATCATCTAATCAGCAGAAAAACAACATATCTATATTATATAAATATGGAAGTACGTGAAGCTAAAGTCGACAAAAAATTGGAGGACAGTTCATACCACAACCGGAACAAATCGGGGAATATAAAAGACTTGTGCACACCAGGTGCACAATCATGATAATCAACTTATAATGGTAGTTTATTTAGTAAGAATTTATTTCTACTAGTGTTAATACATGCATGTGTAGCGGAAATGCTTCAATAAATTTTAAATGGACCGCTTTAGGTTGAAGTAAATGAACAAAGGAAAAATTGCTCAATAATTCTTTTTGTACCTGATTGAAGCCTGACGTTTATAGATTCGGCCAAAGAGTATCCACAGAACCCAGTAACCCTCAGTATCATTGACATCTTCAACAGCTAGTTGACGCAAGAGCTCTTCAGCTATTCTTTCCACTGAATGGGAATCACTTACCGCCTCCATTATCTTCATCCATAAATTTGAACCAGGTTTCGACTCAAATATTTCACTAATATCCAGATCAGAGGTTGATGACAAAACACTCCTAACATGCCCAAGAATCCGTGGGACCACCTCACTCAGCAGCACATCTGCCAAAAATGCAAAAGGAAAAGGCTAGGGTTTATGCTACTTTGTAGTTTTGACGCATAAAATATGTGGATACCTAAGTATTTGGACTTTAGACTCTAAGAATATCAAAATACCAGTGGATCCTCGACGACAGATACGGGAAAAAATTTCTCCAATGAAAAGAATAGCACCATTAGTATGGCTATCATCAGCAGCAACAGCTAACTTGTCCACTAACTTCAGATCCCATTCCTCCACTCCATAAAGAAGCTGTATGGTAAGTCTTTTGAAGAACAAACTGAAAGATGGAGTAAAGGAAAGAGAAAAGGCCAAAAAGCAAAGAGAAAAGAAGAAGACCACAAACAAAATTGCAAAGAATGAAGAATGATATTTAGAACCTAAAAATATGACGGTGGCAGCTACTGCACTGTGGTTTAACATGCGGTTTTCTAGTACATGCAGACAAATATAACTTTTTTAAGTGAATGTCTCTGGCTATTGAAAATAAGAACATATTTAGGCTTTATACCACATATTTAAGTAGAGAATCGATGATAGGGTCTGCCTCAATATAACAG